ACAGTGCGAGTCATGGCCCTGCCCGAACAGAGGGGCTCGCTACTGATGAATCACTGGCACCGGAATCCGACGACCTGAACCGCAGTTCGAAGCGTTCCGTTGGAATTTCATTCCGAAGGAATTTTCCTCCGAAATTTGTAAGAGTAATGCTTTCCAGTCTTATGGTTTGTATTCATCATTCGTCAACTTTCCCTTGCTCCACAATTTCATCAACTTCATCTCAATGAAGGATCCCGCATAGGTGAATAACACTAGTTTGCCTGAGGAGAGGACGTTGGGGACGAGCCTCTGTTGGGGACGAACCTCTGACCTGAGCTATGCCACAGCGTTAGTTGTGACCATTTGAATCGGATGCATCTTATCTTAAGTGCGCACTCCTAACATACCTAACAGTTTATCCATGAACTTGCGTTAGGAGATCGTCAAAAATATCCCAGTTTTGGGACACATGGTCTCCTACAGTGCCCTGTATTCACCCAAAGCTTGTTACCGCGGGCCCTTATTTTCTCTCGAAGCCTGTCGGTATGGTACCGTATCTGACATCGCTTACCGTTCGTCATAAACTTGACGCTAGGAAATCTGTCAAGGAAACGTTCACGAACGCGTTTCCCAATCGGCGGTCCACCACACAACACGTATTGCATTGAGCTTAACTTGAAAGTCGTCCGCAATAGGCTGCTTCAGCAAAGAAACGATTTGTGTCGGTTCGGTGATCAGGATACGAGGCTGAAAGTTTTCATGACCTTCTCTCCATCCCTCATAAACGCCTCCATATCAAGAATTTCTCAAATTTGAAGTGTGGAAAGTTCCGACTTTTAAAGGCACGGTCCGCGATCAGGTATCGAAGTTGAAAATATGGCGTCAGGAGGTAGTGTGGTCCGCGACGAACAACCTTGTACCGGTTTCGCGGCAAAAATTCTAAGGGAGGGGCGCTATAGCGCAATATAGGTTCAGTGGTTCCTCCTTTTTTCCAGTGACTCCGCCTCCAGACTCCGCCTCCAATGCCGGCTTTCAGTGAAAAACGAGATTGCAGGACGAAAAAGCATGAAAATCGTCACTTGTACGATCGTAGAGTTCTTATCGGTGAATCAGCTGTGCGTATGAGGGCGTAGTGTGGGAGAGTTGATTGGGCACGTACAAACTGGGATCAAAATGGGGTTCTATCTAGGGCAGGTGGCATGTTTTTGTGCTTTTTCTTCACTGTCGAGTTACTCAACCCCTTGTCGTCTATATGGAACCCCCTAATCCACTATCTGGGATGGCGAATAATCGCGGGTTCTGCCTTTAATCGTTCACCGCAAATGGTAGGTTTTCCATCTCGAGGAGCAGAAGGGCGCAAAAGCAAGGCCGAAGCTCACTCCTGTAAGAGGTTTTAACTCGCACATAAGCAAAGAGAGGATAATTTTGTCTCAAGTTTTACTTGATGGAGCAATATGGCGCTGTCGCTAGCCCACTCCAAAGTCATGGGTGGGAATGAAGGTTGACAAGGTTTTGCCCTCTTCCTATGTCTACGCTTGCTTGCGAGGAG